AGAAAGGCCTAAAACACATTATTTAAATTATATACATCTATTAAACCAATGTATATCAACTAGAAGTTCTCTCAAAAAGAAGTGACTTCAGCTTAGATTTAAAAGTGTTCAACAAGTTGTACCTCTCCATATCCTATTGAAGAAAATTCTTTATTCTTTTTTCTCAGAGGGAAGAGGCAGATTTTCCTATCTCTGCTCACGGGCAAAGCAATGCTTTTGTGAGTTGCTAAGAGCATCACTAGCTTCTTTGTCATTTTTCATAAATACACTTTGTTTTGCCAACTGGCCAGCACTTTCAAGCAAAGTATTTCTAAGCAAATCAAGCAGAATTATAACTTATCAATCTTCTCTTTGCTCTCTCTTAAATCACTTTGATTGTCAGCAAAAATTGTTTAGGAAATAAATTTGTAACTTAAATTGCATAGCAAGAACCAAAGGAATTCAATGAGAAAAAACTGCATTAAATTCCCTTTTGGGCCTAATGAACATGTCTCATTTTACTTTAGTTTTTTTGGTGGAAAAATTTGCATATGCCATAACAACACACAAAGGAGCAAGCTCACACAGCTTCAAAACCTATCATTGAATTTACACACAAATACTTTCCTTGCCATTTCCTGACTGAGCAGAGGTATCCTTTATACATTAATCATTGATGGAAGTAAATAATTCTTACCGTAAGATCATTAAATGTTGTTGAGGAAAATATTGTTTGACAGTCATTGAACTTTAGTTTGTTGGCCAAAACCAGTAACATTTTTTTTTTCAATAGTGTACATGCACTTTTTTTTCTTAAGCACTCTCTAATTGACAGTTGTCTGATTGTGACAGATACTTGTAAAAAAAATGTTTCAAAGTTTGTTTGGAAGCCTTTTAAATCGCATTTATTGTTACACAAATAAAAATCTTTCAGTGAAGCCTCTCTCTTTAATTTGCATTACCTGTGTTTTAAGCCTACATGTAGATTTGTCTGTATTGGGAAAAACTGTGCCCGAGGTCTTGAGTACCGCCTGAGGCCCTAGGGTGAGGGTGGTACTCAAGACAGACCAACTCCAAAGAATAATTAAAGCATACCTCTTGCTCTCTCTTAAATTTGCATTTCCTATGTTTAAGCCTAGGTTAGTCCATATTGGGAAAAACTGTGACCTTTGTCTTGAGCACCACTCTCAGCCTATAGCCTTGGGTGGGACTTTGTACCTTGGACACAGTTTTTTTTCCAATATGAACCTCCCAGCGGGCAAATAATGTATTAATACTGGTGCAGTAAATGAAAAAGCCTATGACTGTACATCTTAAGATTACAACTTAGTATTTCAAGAAAATATTTCCTAGAGGGGCACAATGTTCTCGGAGGAATTAATCTGAATAATTCTTTTAAATTCTCATACATCTAGCTGTACATTTGATCTTGTTGCACATACAAAGTGTGGTCTGAGAGATTAAAAAAAATTGTATTAAAGTATTGTTCAAAAGACTTCCACGCACGAACTTACACAGGAAGCAGTTCATACCCAACTCTCACGACTTTCCAGGCTTGGATAACACTACTGTATGATTCAATTACTTTCCAGGTGTTCAATGATATGTGCTTACATTAAGAACATGCTGAAAACTAGAGTGAACTTCAAAAATTGCAATCAAAGTTAGGTGTGTTTTCACATGCCTGACAGTTCTACTGAATATTCCCCACAATTGTTACAAAAGGACAGATGGTGAAGATTCCAACATATGTTATTGTCACGGCAGGCAATCAAAAGATTGTCAGGTTAATGATCTTCACTTACTCATTTTCAACACTCTTCACATTACATGATCAAAAAAATTAGTCAACCTAACACACAAGTTTCCAAAAAAATTAACCCGACTATTTTACAAAGTTCATGTATTTCGGTGATAATTAAGTGATTACAAGGGCATGAAACAAGAGAGAAAAGCAAAATAGATGTAATCCATAGGAAAATGTACAATTTATAAGTTGAAATATCTAATCCATAGCCTGCCGGCCAGTTCCCATTCATTTCTGGCAGGAAGTTAAAAATTCTTTGATTTCATACCATTGCGACTTGTATAATGAAAGGTGAAAGAATTTTCAGTAAACAAATATTATCGATTACTCAATCACACGTGTTATAGAGACAAAAGCCTACTTCTAGAGCAGGACCTCTTAATGCTCAACTTAAATTGTACTTGGTCTAGAAAAAGAGTCGACACTTTGAGTAAGTGGTTAAGAAATATGTCGAGAGCTTATTTCGATATTTGAAAAAGTAATTTACTCTTCAAGTAACCAAATGCACTGAAAGATAGGATAATAGAAACACAGTAGACATAGCAAACACTACAAACAAAAATAACGAGAAAAGATAGAAAAATGCTATAATCGATGTAAATGTCTGAAAATTGAATAAAAGACCGAGACCTGCTCGTGATCGATCAGGTTGTCAGACGTACCGTTGCAGACTCGTCTATTTCAAGCTTGAAAGTTTGTTGTTGGAGAGTTTTAAACGTTATCTGCATGGTTCTTCTCTAATATTGCAACAGATTTAGATCCCCCACGGTAAAATACAACGGCTGAGAGCAAGGAAATCGAAGAAATTTGGAATACTGCACTACAAGCATTTGTAGCGTGTAATCCTTAGAAAGAACCAGCAACATGACGTCATCACGTTGGCTACGCGTACCTCGCATGCGCCATGCGGGGCCCGTAGGGTTATGGGTAGTTTTTGGTAGACTGGGTACGAGGTTGGGTGTAGTCGGAAAAGACTAGCACTAGAAGGAAGACCCGGAGCAAAGCTATCATCGAATATCTATTGCCAAAATTGTGGACAAATGAAATTCGTCTGTGAACTTGCAATAAGTATTCTTGCAGCCAAATGTGTGTTGTAGAGATTGAAGTGACCGAAGTCACGAGGTTTGTTCCGTCTAACTTCGTGACTTTGCTCGAAAGCTTCCGGAAATTCACGGAGGAATCCAGAATGATGGTAACCATCCAAATCCGAAGAATAATCAAAGCATACCTCAGGCGATCTACAAATACAGTAAAAAAACATTATCCTGCGTTTATCAAATTTCCTTTAGCAAAATTCATCAAATTTAGACGCTGTGATCAAAATCTTTCGGTTGTGTGACCGCAAGTATTTTCACAAAGATATGTGGTAGTAAACTACTCGTGTTTTCCTTTGGTCAGAAAAGTACAGGGTTATTTTCATCCGCCAAAGTGTTACTGATCGATCCAGTCGCCAAAGTTTACGAAAGATAATTGAATTTAATCAACCAGCCAATAAATTTAGACTGTTCCCACATTAGATCGTAAACAATCGAAGCGATTTACCATATTGGGTTGTGTTTTAACTAAATATGTTTTGTTCACTCGAAAGGTGGTATTTGAAGCAACAATGCTAAGTATAAACTGTAACAAACCTGGCTATCGTTTATGCGCGGTTACTATTCTAGGACGATGGCGTTAGGCCCGTGTCTACATCTTAATGAGTAAGTGACTGACTCATTTGCATATTGGAGTCACCATAACAACTTATTTCTACGCTTTGCGTTAAGTTAAAGACGAGGCACTCCACTCTCAGGCCCGTCTGTTTGTGGACAACAATTTAGTTACATTTGTGGAGTAAAGCTGGAATTCCAGTTTTTCCTTCATCCTCTTACTGATCAGTAGTTCGCTACCACCCCTACATATTCCCATTTCTTATATGGACGGAGTGTTTTACCTCAGTGGAACTAAGACACTCGTAGAATCAAAACGACCACTATACATCGGAGTGTATGCAACACGAGTGGTCACATTAAGCAACTACGTCACAACCCGCCTTTTAAAACTTTTCTTTTCAATCTACCACGTATTTATTGCCTATATGATAACAAGAAACATTACTCGTTAGCTCGAAGATATGAATTTTATTTTCTCACATCTTGTCACAACCGTATAATATCCTCAACATAGCTATCCCCTCCGATCAGCTCCTTGTCAACAACGACAAAAAAATTTATTTTTCTCGTTGTTGACAATCATTGTTGTCGTTGTTGAAATAAAAAAAATTTTTATAAAAGCTTCTAAATATGGCCAGCTGCCCCCAAATAAAACTTAAAAACTATTATATCATTATGCAGCTGCCTGTAAGATGAAAAGAAAATATATGACAGATTCATCCCTCGACCATGAGAATCTGTTCGATGACCTTTACATTTTTCTTTTTCTGGCCTATAGCTTATGTAGGCACACAGGGAAATGTTTTAATTCCTTCTCTGGTCCAGTTATAAGCGGGCTAAATAAAAACTACCATAACACATATAACATGATCGCTATAAAAAAAAAAAAGATCGCCCGACTGCTTTGCTCGTGGCTCATAATGGCAGAAGCCCATCCTGATGATGGTCGATTCCATTAAAGCAATAAATGGCAATTAAAGAAATACATATTACTTTTGAATACATTGAGAATCCTCCTTTAAAAAAAATAATTTTCTTCAGTAAAAATTTATTTGCCTGTCACATAAAATTTTTAGACAGCCTAGTGGTGTTTTTTTGATTAAAAAATATAAATCTAAAACACTGACACACAGGGAAAATTGAGAACTATGACCGGACGCATATGGAATTTGTGAGAAAAACAGCGAATTCTTGGCCCAATTCAAGTGAAAGGATAACACTGGGTTTATCACAGGCGGCCCAAGCTCCAGCTGTGAGATGATCATCTTGCACAATAACAGTCACAGCGGAATGGGCTTTTCTTATGTGAGTTGAAAACCTCGAAATGGACAACTCGCTAAAATGGGTACTTTTCATCAAAATAAACGGTCGGACAACAAACGATACGCTGTGAAAGTAAGGTGAGGTATTTTCATTGAGAATTTGACGTATTGTTTTATTCCTTAGAGCAGTCGTAAATATTCTCATACAAACTCTTATAATTCCGCCATGACTGTTATTGTGCAAGATGATCATCTTACAGCTGGACCTTGGGACGCCTGTGGGTTTCTAATTGAAATATTGGTAAAAGCTAGCTAAAGACAGCATTGGTAAAAGCTTTCTAAAGACAGCATGTTTCTTTTTCATTAACAAAAGGTTGTTTCCATGGAGATGGGCTCACAGGAACATCTGTCATCAAGACCTTTATGGATCAGTTCAATCTCCTGTTGTGGTTTGTTGTTTAAGAAAAGCAAAAACACAGTCTCACTTTACGAATTTCTCACCCACTATTAAGCTATCATCCTGAAACGAAGGGCTAAGGTTAATTTTGCTTTGAGAGTCAAAAATTAGAGAAGGAGACCTCTGCTGCGAAGTTTTACTTTGAACGGAAGGTTAATTGAAGCTGAACTGATTCGTTGATGAAGGACTAGGGATAAATTGGTAAGCTGATTCTATATTTTAAGCTTCACAATGCAAAAAGCCAGATTTCATGGTCAGCACTTTGGGATCTTTGAGAAAAGCTTGCGAACTGACGATTCCACGAAAAACACTACAACAGAACAGAGAACCCCTCGCATAAACGAGACAGAAGATATGGAGGAACACCTTGAAAAGAAAACACAACAACACAATATGGCGAATACAGTCGAAGGAAAGCGGAGACAGAGCGTATTTTACACGCACGAAATCAAGAAAATAATGGACGAAATTTTGAAGGAGAAACTATCCACTCAATTATATGACGCCAATACCTGTAGGGTTCTCTGCATTAGTTTGTCAGAGGATATTAAAAGCCGAGTAAAGAATCTAGGAATGGAGAGATTCCGTTTGATATGTAGCGTCAGTATAGGATCGAACTGTGGCCAAGGTATTTTGATGGCTAGTCGGTTTCTTTGGAATGACTTCAGAGATAATTTTTCGACTTCTTCTTTTCAAAATGCGTCTTTATTTGCTGTAGCTATCGTTTTCGGAGTTCTAAAAGAGTGAAGTGACATTTGGAGCGATGAAGAACACTGTAGAAGTCAGGCTGAATGGATTAAAGCTTTAAACAGCAAGTGATGATCATGACTCTATGTAACCGTACCGAAGTCTCAAGCCAAATGAAATAGATAGATGGCAAATTTTCTTCTATGATTTTACCCTTTTAAAGGTTATCTCCATGCTGGGTCGTAAAAAAATATCAAAATTATCATATTAAAATCGGTGAAAATGATAAAACATCCCTTGCAATCAAGTTTCGGTGAACGAAGCCGTAAATTTAAATAACAAAGATAGTTTTGAATTTCATGACTGACCTGTTCTTTTTAATGAATTAAGGCAAATTTTGTTTTCTCCGCTGTTCTTATGGTGACATTTCATTAATTTTTCTGTTTTCCTCTGTCAGGAACTAAAATATATTAAACAATATAAATTATTGACTCCAACGTTTAATTTGTTGACTTTTTTATTGAAATAAGCAATTTGGAATGAAAATAATCACGGTGAAAACCTTTCAATCTACATGAATCAAATATCACGCCTACGTCCTCTGTAAATAATACCAAATAGGTATAAGATTTGAATTTTCTTCGCGCTCTACTGGGGAAAAAAGTCCAGCATCGATTTAGTATGATTATTTCACATCATATAATTTGAGTTTTTCAAGCGTTGCGCGAATTGCACACTCGAATGAGAATTCTCACGGCCGTCTGCCATTCTGGAACCCAGACCTCTTAGAGTCACACAGCTGGCTAACAACAAGAAGTCTCTAGGGTAGAGTAAGAATGAAATATTTACAAACGCAGTTAGTTATTACAGATTCTTCAAGTTTTGAACTCAGACCATGGTCGCTTATTCGAATTCGTCAGCTAAGGTTGACACGGGCATAAATAATATGTACTATAAAAAAAAACGAGCGGGAGATATTTTCCAAATGAATTCGCACAACTTTCAAATAACTGAGTAGAGAAACCGTATCGCATATGGCATACAGTACTCCATTATATAAATGATATCTCACGATAAACACAGTATTTAGCTGGTGTGTACAGAAAAGGTTAGGGGCCCGCTTGTCTACCCAACCTATAGTTTTCTTAAAACTCAAAAAACTCTTTCTCCAAACTTGGCGAGTTAGATTTTTAATTTTAATGTCTTTGTCGGTCATAGATATCAATATCTATGAATCAAGTACCGATTAAAGGATTTCGTGAAAAGTCAGGCGGTGTGCGCACTCTGATTTCTGCATGAATAATATCAAAGACAGAAATAATATTCCCAGACGCGAGTTATTTAACAGGGATTCTACCCTTGACGTGCAAACGCACTGCAAAGAGACAAGAGATCTTCTTATACACGAACTTTTTTCAAGTCATCCACCAGGCTTAAATATACGGTAAATATAGGATTCGTAAGAAGAGAAACGCTACCCCTCCTGAGAACGAATTCATCACGCTCCACGTTTAATAAAAACGTACAGAAGTTCTAAGTAAGCTTAAAGGATCGAGGATACTCAGGTGAAAGTTTTGAGAAACGTATCTCTTGAGTTATTTTCTGCGGGAGAGAAAGGTCACTTAAATACAAAGTAAATAGTGTACAGGAGAAAATATTGCCTTTTCTAACAACCTAGCAACTTCTCTGCTCGCAAAGTGATCACTTATCAATTTAAAAAGTAAAATCGTCCTCAATTACATACAACGCTAAACCGGAGATCGCTTTATTTCTTCTAATTTTCCTATTTATTGCTTTCTTCATTTATTTTCGAAAACACTGATTCCTTTCAAAATTTCTAACCGCCGCCCCCTGACGCGCATGACGTCCTTATTCTAACTTAAGATCAGAGCTTGCCGATGTTAACTTTCGACCCGGCTGATGCCAGTTGGTGTTACGGCGTTGCTCTTCTTTCATACAAGCCGGTCCAGCTGCTCTTCATACAAGCCGGTCTAGCAGGATAAATGTCATAATTTAGCATTTTCAGTGTTGCGTGAAGGCAGGCGAAACGGCTTGCACAATATCTGCATCATTCCGGTTGCCATTGTCACTTGTCACCATTCCTGGTGACAAGTTATGTTAGCAATCCCAGACACAACGTACAATCCTAACCACAAAGAGTAGATAATGAACCACAATTTCTTTGAACTTCTGACCTTCCTATATTTATAATCTCTTGACCCAGACGTTTATTAAATCCTTAAAAAAATGTAAAGGATGCTCAGCTACGTCATCAAGTTATTATATTGCTTCTTCAAGAGCCTTTCGTTGTCAATCAAATTCTCCTCGTCTGTCATAAGGTTAATGAAAAACCAAAAAGGAAACAAATTATGAGCTAATCAAAAGACTGATATCGGTATTTGAAGCTCGCAAAATCGTGTAAGTTTTCGCCTTGTTTCATCACGTTTCTAATTGGAGGGAAATCTTTGGATAATGAGTAACAAGACTGGGACAAGAAGTCCAGCGGCAAGATTAAGAAGTTTGGCTTTGAGTAGGTCTGTTGGTAGACCAAAACTACGAAAAGCTTTGTCGGTAAACAGCGAAAGTGAGCTATTAAAGGCAGTCGCTGGGACTTCCCTTACGACAGGCAAAGATTTCGGCGTGAGCAAAACCCCGCCTTTACAAAGGAAAGCACTAAGTGCCTCTGAAAATGTACTTTCAATCAAGTTACAAGCCAGTTCATTTAAGGAATACGACAGAGAAATCACGACTTCAAGCAACCATGCGGAAAACGTCGGTAAACAGCCAAGGAGTGGCAAAGAGTATCAAAAAACAAACAGTTTGGATCGTAAGGATTTAAACTCGAAAATACAAGAGATAATTCGCCAGAGTTTGTCTGCGCACCTCGAAAGTATGGAATACAATCACGAAATCTGCGGCAGCAAGTGTAGAACTATAAGCCAATCAATAGAGAAAGGTGTCAAATCTCTTTACAATACTCAATACAAAATTACAGCTCTGGTTTACATCGGCGCTATTCGAGACCGAGGAATTGAAATCTCTAGCCAATGTGTTTGGAATCCGAAGACAGATAACTTTGCGATGGCAACACTTGACACCAATTCGCTGTTTGCAACAGGGATTGTTTTTGCTACGTTATTCAATGATGACTAGATGTTTGCCCGCCGATTTTTAGTTCGTGAGGGAATCTTGGCTCTCCCGCAGGAGTTGTTATTATTTTTTCACTTCAAAAATATCAACAATAGAAAGAAACAGTGGGAGACAAGTTGAAAGAGTTATTCATTGATAGGGAGATAATTGATGGTGCGATTAAAATTAAAAATGAGAATGCTGTTGTAAATTGTTTGAAAATAGGCAGCGAGGCGCTTCATTAATCTTAATTGTTTCTCAAGGTTCAATATCTCAGGAGAACAAAGAACTAAGTTCTCGAGTCCTTTCTTTCAAAGAAAGTCATGAAGTGTAAATGGTCAGAACTTTTAATTTCAGTTTTAAGTTTTCAATGTCAGTATTTCGAGACTGCGTAGAACCAACAGGAGTTTTACAGTTTATCGTATCAAACTCAATAAACAAATTAAGGCCATATTCTAAAGCCAAAATGCATTTGTGTAACTTATTTGGATAATTTATTCACGTTGAATCCACTGTTTGACTTTTTCGAAAGCGAGACTCATCCACTGTGAAAAGATTGAAAGTTTATTCAGTTGACTCTTCATGGTCCTTAGTGAGTGGTTCTTTTAAAGACAAAACAAATGATGGACAGGCAGACAAAGAATCGCAAACATATCGAATTTACTTCATGTAATTCAGATATCGTACATTTTTGTTCTTGGACATTATCTGTTCCTCAAAGCTCACAAGTTTCCTCGAGCTTCGCTCTCAGAACTGACTGTTCGCATCTTGTCTTGGATAATGTCCGCGGACAAACCACCGCGCATGTTAAATGGGGGCTATTGTTTATATTTCCCAATAGGCAATATTTCTTCGAAACCAGAGGAAAACTCAAACGAACTGAAAAACAGGAAAAAGTCTAACAGAACCCAGTTTTTCAAAGGAGAGATAATTCTATTCAACGGATAAATCGCTATCCAACGAACAAGTTGTAAACAAAACGTACTGTGCTATCCACTGGATAGAGATTGATCAAGCACTATTCACCTCCAATTCGGTGAATAATTACTAGTTCTTCCATTGATAGGACTTTTCCTACCCTATATCAGTAATTGGTGCACCCGAGGGTGGAAGTAATGGAAACAGTTAAATAAATTTGTGTACCGCTTTCTCATGTCTGAAGCTCTATATGTGGCCACCGACAACCTGGCGCTGTATATTGGCTGGTCTCTGAGTTGTCTGCCAGATGCGGCTGGAGAGCAATTCAGCGCCCCCCCTTCTCTAATAAGCTATCCCTTATAAGCGCCAAATTTGTCTTTGATGATAATTGCCCCTATTCTAATAAGTGCCCCTGTTGAGAAAGCATCCTCATTACAATGAGTGCCCTTATACAAATAGGCGCCCCTGTTCCAATAAACACCCCTATTCTGTTTCAGTAATAACACTGTTAGAGTACAATACATTGAGGTCAATTGATGTCCATCTTCCTTAAATTGCTCAATTAAAGCTTCACAACTTAAGAGTGGTCTTTGTCTCAGTCTCTCAACTATTCTGTCGCCGTGAGTGCACAGTTCCTTCAAACTTTATTTTACGACGATTGCTTGGTTAGTCGTTGTGGCAAGGAAGATTCCAGGGAAAACAAGTCCGTTTTGCGGTGTTTTCGATCCTAAGTCCTAAGTCCTTTTCGATCCTAAGTAAACATAAAAGTTTTTCTGCTGTTTCTCAAAAGAGATTAAGCGCCCTGTTTCAGAAAAGCATTCCCCCCATGAGATACCAAAAGTAAATAAGTGCCCCGGAACTTTCCAGAGGGTACATACATCACTCTGTGTCGATGATATCTGGTGCTTCTGTTTTCTACTTGGCAAAGAGTTATTATAGTAATGGTAGTCTGGGCTCTGTTAACATAGCAATTAGTGAGATTACAGCTGCATTTTTAGATATATCTAACATACTAGGAGAGGAAGGAAGTTTTTGAGTTTCAGGGAGGCACCAGTTTTCACAGACATGAACGGTCGTCAAGTAAAGCATTCCAATAAATCAACGATGAAAGTAGAAACTCTTACCTAAGTAAGTGAAGGAAATCAAGGTGGAATGAATCAAAAGTTGCAGTTTCGTTTAAGTTTTTGACATATGTTAAGTTTGCAATGCTTCAGATATGCTTTTTACAACGGCAGCGGAATTGGCGGTTAAAATTCAGCTGACTATACCGGTTCATCAGGAATGACAAAAGTTTTACATCACGTAGACTTTCTATACGTATAAAAAACTGAGATTCTAGGAGCGCACTAGAAAACCGATAGAAAATTGAGGTTTGCTTTTGTAAAAGCATTACACCGCACTTTCTATCGGCTTACCGGCGTAACAACCCACTTGAGCTGTTGGAAGGACATTCAAAAAGTTTTTAAAGCACTCACCTCTAGATCATGATTCCCATTACTTTCTCTTGCTTCTACCCCACTGCGACCCTGTTTCCATGGTCCTCTACTTCGACGAACGAAGTCAATTTTCTGTCTTCTTAACCTCAACCTCAAGCTTGCTTGATACTGACACATCTACAATCACGGACCTAGCGCGTCCTGAAAGCCGCGGTCACACAGTCACGGTTTTAGGTTTGTCTCAACTTAGTCGATGAAATGTCACTCCAAATGTTTTGAACAATCATTTCAATTTGTTGTACGCAGGGGTGATATTGGCTCAAATAAAAGGCTGCTGCTCTGAATAATTCATGTATGACAGGCAGCTAACATTACACAACTTCCCGCTGTTTGTGTTCTTTCAAAATTTGCAGATTCTGATATTAACTCCAGATTTTAATTCACCTGCTTTTCTAATTTTGTTACCATAACAACAACTGCCAAAATCTATCTTCTCTCACTACAAATAATGAGCGGCAGAAAACGTTTCGTTCAGGATCATATTTCATCATTTTGCAAAGGTTAGCGTTACAAGGAATGAATCTACTGAAATCCTGGCGAGGAAGTTTAACTGATATTTGTCTGATGGAATGCTAATTCATCAGTTTCGGAACATATTCTTGAAGTCATTCTGTGTTTTCTAATGGAATCAAATCGTCAAAATCGTCGACATATGAAGGACAGTACGACAAGTAACCGAACTTAACTGCGGCAAAAAAAATCATGGCAGCTTTAGTTAAGGCTATCGAGCGGAAGAGATTCAAACAAGCCAAATTACTTTTGAAACTTGGCGACAATGTTAATCAACAGGAACAATTATCAGGAAAAACTCCTCTCTTAGCGCTTTGTTTCTTAGAGGACGAGAATCTAGCGTGTCGTATGACAAGGAAGCTACTTCTTAGAGGAGCAGACGTTTGCATGCAAGACGAACATGGAATGAGTCCACTCATGCAAGCTTGTAAGCTGGGTAAAGAGAAACTAGTCAAAGTACTTATTCAGAGCGAAGAGTGTGATTTTGCTGCTGCAGACAAAATGGGGAATACTGCGCTTATTTACTCCGTTGATGCTGGTAACGCTGTTATTACTAAAGCTCTCACAGAAGCAATGAATTCCTACGATATACGAGCTACTGATAAAGCCAACAATAACGGTGAAACTCCTCTGATTAGAGCGATGAAACTCAAACGAGATGACTGCAAGGAAGTGTTATTAAATGATGGGAAAGCGTCCCCTTCAGCCCGCGATTTTGATTTAAAACTAAACGCAAAAGAATGGGAGAGGTATCTAAAAGATATGGCCGAGGATGAAATAAAACCTATAGAGGATAAGGCGAAAAGAGTCCGCTACAGGGAACAAAATAGAAGTTCATGTGTGAAGTCAAGGTTCTCATCCATAATTGATTATGGACAGGATATGAAGAGTTCGACTAAGCTAGGAACGCATTCAGTCAGCTTTAATCACAACTGTAACGATATAAATTCTACCAAGAGGTTTCCCCAAAGGACAAAGTCTGCTTCTTTGGTGACTTGTATCAACACTAACAAACGCCAATCGACATCTAAGATTTTCCATTCGGAGTCAAGTGATGCTGTAAGGAAAATTACTGAAATGAATTTTTCAGAAAAGGGAAACAGTCGATGCTTTGAAAAACAGACGAACAAAGGCGAGATGATTTCAAACCAAAACAGTAAGTCAATGAGAACCCCAGGGAGGTCATTCAAGCGTCATAAATTGAAGACATACCCAGTGAAGAAAATGCTTCCTTCGACTGCTGCTGTCACAGAAAAACAAAAGATGGCATATGAAAAGACTGGTGAAGACAGTGGAGACGGGTTATTTTTTGGTCAAAGCCATATACCTCAGCTTTTTAATCTGATGACTCAGCAAAGGACCCATTCATTCCGGTCTTCAGCAAAGACACCAGCCCCCGGAGAACAGAGAAGCAAGTGGTCGGTCCGTGAAGGGAAAGAAAATAACAGGAGAATATTTTCTGGAAGGAACTCAACCACGATGCAAAAGCAGTGTCTCTTAGGCAGAAGATGGTCCACAGCCGAGTCTTCCCTTATTGCGCTCGAACGATTTCCCTTGCTTTACAGTCGTTCGGATTTCCAGGCGTTAACTCCAGACAACCGCGTGACTTTGGAAAAATCAGCTTTGAAAACAAGACCAAACTCTGAACTATCAAGCCTAGAAGAGCAAGTTACAAAAGGAAAGAATTTAAACAGAAAATCAAAATCACCGACTATATCTCCTAATTTTTTGAGGCTAAACATACCTCTCTCAGCATCCCTTCCTGACAGCAGTCGTCACGGACGGATAAAATCTTCCAGACCAAGATATGCAAAGCGCAATAGTGACCCACTCCCAGCAGATAGAACCTTATTAAGTGGGTCGTTGAGGACAGTGACTGCAGGCCCAGTGATCGAGGAGATAGAGGAAGGAGGGGATAACGAGATATGAGAAAAATTAATGGAATGTGGATTATCGAGGATACGATAATCTGAAGGTCGTGAGAAATCGTAACTCCATCCGGAGTTAAAATTTCTTCGTACAGCTTGACTCTGTAAAGGAAAAAAACCTCTTAACTTACCATGGCACTTGGTCAAAATTATGTGATAATATGCATTTACTATTTGAAAACCAAGTGTGAACATGCAGAGAAGATGATCTATGCCCTCAATCAAAGTAGTTTTCGGAACGCATAGCACCTTTAAACTGCGAGAAGACAGTAACTGTAAGAACAGTGTAGCATGTGCTGAAAGAAAGGATAAAGAAAAGTTGCGATTAAATGTTCAGCCACCGAAGTTTTTGTTGTGCTATCTTCATCTCACATTTTTCTTTTTTTTTTTTTTTTTTTTTTTTTACTGAAGTAATCTTTATAAAAAAAAATGATTTAGGTTTTGTGTGTCAATTTCTGTAGCTGGCTGACATAAAATAGGGTAAATGAGTGCGGAAAAGGAAGGACGAAAACTTTTCTTGGATGGTAAGCCAAGCTACACGGATTGAAACGCCTAAATTTTTTTAGTCTGTGATAAATTGGTTAGACGATGAATCAAAGAGAAGCAGCTGACGGCAAGTGCTGAAATCATTTATAGCAGTAACTTTGAGGGACCGTCCAAAGATCGGAACAGTTTAGTGAAGTAACCTTTAGGGATAAAAGTTCTGCTGGTGTAACTCGGAAAAAAATGCTCTGAAAGTAATAGAAGTGCTTCAGGAGAATCACTCACCTAAGACAGAGAGAGTAATGCGCAGATGTATCGGGGCCAGGAAGAAAAAAATCGTGAATAACTCGAGATGGACTAAAGTGGAAAATCGCCTTGCTTTTGACTTGGTCTAGACACGGATACATTCTGCATCTCTCTATCAAACATGACTGATTTCTGTAGATCCCAGGCTCCCTCGCTCTCTCGTCGGGCCTTAAACCTGTTAATTATCTGTGTCTGAATCAGGGCTTACCTTTCATGGTCAGCAAAAAGGTCAAGTTTTGCGTTCAGGAAATGAAGACATTAATCAGAACAAATTTCACACATCAGTACAAGTTATTCCAGAGATGGCTCCTTAATTTGTACATTATCGTGGATCAAATGATTTTATACAAAGGATTGATTGACAGAAGTGCAATATTGAGAACTAATGATGAAGGCTTTCGTTGAGCATTCCTCCTCTATTCTTTACCTCGTGCATTGTCGTGAAAACCAGAAGTCTTTACCGCATCGAAACGTGACCGATTTTAAGTTTGACTGACGTAAGAGGCTTTAAACCTCATTTAGTAAGGTGTAATACGAGAGCACACCAAATGAAAGTCGCCAAAGATACATAACTCCCTGACTTAACAAGTTGTAGACAAAGCTCTTCATTCATATCGGAGAAATAAAATTTCCATGATTTTGTTGGAGCAAGAAACCTATTGCCCCAATCACACCAAACCCAAACATGTTTTAAATCTATTTTGGTCATCATAGTTCATCATCCAAACAAGCTGCATAAACCGATTTTTATCAACTTCAAATTTAGCACGTTGAAAATACAAGTTAGTGAGTTCTTGAATCCTGTGGAAAATCCAGTTTTTCAGTTTTATGTTTGTGATCTTCATTTAGTTAAACCCGGTTTAACGAAACAAGTTTTGCTGACGAATAGGATTGAGCAAGTCATACTTGAGCCAGTTGTCCGCTTAAAAAAAAAAATCCACTCTTTAGAAAACCGGAAACTTGCTTCATGAAAACCGTCCCATTGTTGTTACTCTGCGTACAAAGCATAAACAGTTGCTTGAGCAAATAATGACGAATTCGTAAAGGAAACAGTAACGAAATCGTCAAAGTTCTCATTCCAGGCACATCTGCTTGTAATTCGTATTCCCTGACCTTTCTTCTCGCCAATGTGCACAACAACAACTAGTTTGTATCGCGGGCATAGCAAACTTTTTACCTTCTCTTTGATGAGCCGGCAAATATTCTGACTGTGGTCTTTGCACTTGGAACTATCATAATCTTCTTTCTTGAAGCGCGCTTTCAAAACATCTGCAATTATGGTTTCCACTGTTTTAGTTGGCATTGGCGTTTTGGCATCTGGCAACAATTTGTAAGTGTTTTCATAGAAATTTATCCCGCTTGAAAACTCGCTGTCGGCAACGGAGGCGTCATCGAGGCGATCTGTTAGATGAGTGTCGTTGCGATTCATTGCCGACTTCTGGGATGGAACTTCTTTGGAGTCCAGTTTAGAAGCAATTCCCAGTTTGAGCTTGGAGTGTGGTTGAGGACTTTTTCCTGAAAGGGTAACAATTCCTCGCTTAGTCCCAGATGCCGACATTTTAAAAATCTTACGGCAGATGTATAATAACTTTGGTTGCTTTTTGTTTTGAAGAAAACGAAAGCGTAATTTTGATTGTTTTCTCTCTCTACAATCAAACACTGCCATTGGAAATAATTAAACCTCAAACTATTCAATTCGGTAACAAAGCCATGTAAAGGGACTCAAAGAGCTCGATAATAAAGAGTTATAAGTATGTTAATCAAAATGGAAAGTTCGTGACGCTAAATAAGTACGGGCTTTGTGTGATGAAAGTTCTCTTACAATTGGTTTTATAGGAAGATGAATGTTTGAGTGGAATTGAATAAGTTTTTAAACAATTCACTGATTGTATTGAATGCCGGCATTCCGTATAAAGTCGTTTAATTCCTTCTAAATAATTAAACGCCTGCATGGAAAAAATAATGAAGTAGGAAGGGAAATGTTATCATATAGGCATGTCTCCTAACATCATTCATCGGAATCCTTTAACTCCAATCATGATTTGCAGACTAGAATAATCCACCTTTAGGATAGATCATAGGAGGTTTATTTTTCTTTTTTCAGATCAGTTATTGTGTTGTGGACAGTAGAAAAGTTTATTTAAGGAAGACACAGTGAGTGCTTTTGATAATACCCTCTTAGGTTGATATTTTTTCAAGGTAAATCTCATAAGCTCGTTTTACCTCATCAGTAGCAAGAAAGACTTCCACAATTATAAACTCAAAAAGGCGTGTAGAACCTGTCTCAATATTACAAGCAGTTATGGAAGTCAGCTGTTATCCATGATTCCCTTTTAAGCTCTTAAGCCATTGTAGGATGAGCTTCTTGTGTTGCCTATAAATCTTTTTGGTGAAAATGAAATCAAATAAACCCAAAGTTATATATACCAATTGTATGTGAGTTTGGAGAGTTTAAAACAGAATTAGAGGCGAGACCTTTTTCTGCTTATGGTGTGTGGCTGAGGGTTACGCTGTTTCAAGTTATGATGACGTGCACATTGTCCTGAAAAATTACACGCTTTGTTCATACGTGTAAAATATATGCAGCCACATGATCAGATTTACTCATCATCTCAGAGCCCACTATCTCTTTTTGCTAAACAAGAAACGCGTGCTGGTGACCAAATGTCACAATGGCTGTGCAAATGGTATATAAAAACCCGGTTTAAAACGTTTTTGAGACGCGGACGGCAAGTGGGATTAAGATTAAAACTAACCTTGGTGCACTTTAACTACCATAAGGTCTTCGTTTTAGCAATTTAAACCAAACTGTGCGGACCAAAAAAGTGTCAGTAATAAGCACCAAGAATAAGTACTTTTAATTTCCACCTGCCGTCCGCGTCTCAAAAACGTTAGGTGCTTACTGAAGCTCCCTTTTTCTGATGGTAGAAATAGATGTCATGTGGTTTCTGGGGAATACTTCTCCTTTAAGATAGAAACTGACGGCCTCGTTAATAAATATTTTGAATCCTTTCTACCGTTAAAATGGATTAAGATCAAATGGATCTTTTTAAGTAGCAAAAATGGGCCAGTTACTCATTCGTTCATTTTCTACAGCCCCCCTGAGGTTCCTGTTGGCTCTCGTATTTTATTAGTCTGTCACAGTTATGGTTTCATTGAAAAATGTGTGCCTGCGAATTGATAAATCAAGTATAGTGCGTTGTTCAACTCTTCTGAAAATACATTCTCTTACCCGCGGCATGCTAGTTTATAATGAAATTAAGCAAAAACTTCGTCTTTCATGTAGACGCACATGTCGGTAAATCTGGAGCAAAACGTGCAGCTTTACTTTTTACCAACCTTGTGGAAACAAGTATTTGGACTGTAAAGGGGAAGTTCAAGCTGAGTTCTGCACTTGGAATAAGTGACCCAAACTATTTGAGCTTACCTGAGTTTTCCCAGCATAAAGCAGTTAGGAGTATTACCTCTCCTCCCCATGGATGGGTGTTAGGCCATCCTAGGTATCCACATTTTGTCCACGGTACTCTGACGGTTAATTAACCAGCACCCATATTTATGCTCCTGGAAATGTTGATCATAACAAACACAACGCATTGACCCCGGTTTGAACTTCAACCCCAATGTTTTGACTCGGAGTCTGGGGCGCTAACCTTTAGACTGAGTCAGTGTTGAGTGTTTTAGAGTGTTGAGGCGTGGTCTAATTGCCTTGAGGAGACTATTATCCCATTCACACCAGCATATGTTTAATCAAACCGAGTTTCACTGAATGAAAATCAGGAAGAGAGTCGGAATTAAAAAGTTAATTTTCCATTGGATTCAAGTATTTACCAGCTTGTATTTTCAATGTTCGACATTCTACTAAGTACAGAGTCGACAACTATCGGTTTATGCAACTTCTATGAAGAAAACAGCTTAAAAACACGTTTTATCCTTGGTGTGAAAGGGGTATAAGATTGTTGTTAAATAATTCGAAAATTTTTGTTCTAATTTTTGTGAATTTCTTGGAAAAAGTTTGGAAAAAGGAGAATTAAGACATGGCGAGATTAGATATTCAATCAACAGTGACTTCCGCTCCTCACAATTCGTTCAGACATAATAGTTTATTGTTTAATATAGGTTTGGAATGGTGTCAAGCTCATTGGGCTGTTGACTGTGGAAATCTTAATTTTCATCGTCTACCTTGATTTTAAAGAGTACACTCGACCAAGAGCCGAGCTGAAAAAATTTGTCCTCTAATTACTAAAGAGAATTGTTCACCGAAAAAGAAAATTAAGTTTTTTAGAGACATAAAAAGTTTATCATGAGGTAGCAGTCACGAGTAGCCTTACGGAGGCTTTCAACTGATTACGGTAACCGCCAAGGTAGTCCTAAAAGTGTCTAAAATAGGGAAACGGAAGGAAACGGCCGACGTATAGTTCTAGCTAAGTAAGAAAGATTGCTTTGTAACAATGTACAATACAACAATTATTGCTACAGCTTTTGTTATTCTAATTATGGCACAAGCTTACAAAAAACTGTTTTTGTTCAGTTTTCTTAATTACGACAAGGACGTACTTACTGAATAGCTTAAAGACCTCCATAGAATTACGGCGTTTTCCATGTAATTAGAGGCTATTAGATGTCAATTCAACAGGCGTGGTATTCTGTTTCAAGTATCATCGATTATATTTGTTTTTCCTTTTTTATTTTGCAGTCACAGGAAGCTACGAGAAACTGTTTCTGAGTTGTAGTCGGGCAATTTTTATCAAAAGGCATCTGCGTGTCGGTTTCAATTTAAAATGAAAAAAAAAAGTCATGGCGTCTAATTAGGGAAACCATAATGACGGTCACCTTTTTGTTCAACTATAATTGCAAACCTCTTGTTAATACTTTTTGTCCTTCCACGATAATGGTTTTAAGCGAATCAGATAAAAACCGCTTAGCAATTTCCATTTAATTGAGGTATTCATAATATCTTTTGTCCATTGTTGAGTCGCCATCCTATTATTCACGTCTTTTGTCAGCCCTGAGTCCTTCATCCACGCTAAGTAAACATTGTTTGACCTGTTTTGCATTTGTCTTATTCCGAAACATGGGAAAGTTCTAGTTAAATGATAAAAATATCCAGGATAAACTGAACAGCATGGTGCACTTGGTCAATTACTGCTACGATCTCTGAATAAGGTTTGTTTTTCACTTATTTTTGGATCAAAGGTAAAGCGATTAAAAGAGAAAGTAAGCCAGTCAAGTTCAGGACATCTGCACATTATGTATACATGTTACTTTATGCTCAATATTCACTGGATAGTTTGCTCAAGTTGAGTAAACATTCATTTACAGAAAGGAAGAGTTGACTCTTCATTTGTATCGCTTAGCAACGGAAAGGAAAGTTTACATAGATAAAGCCGATAATGTTATCACAGTTTTAAGTGCTGACGAAAGATCAAAGAGGGTTGTCTTCGCTCGTCCTTGTGTCTCCAATCAACTTCTCGTAGTGAGCATAAATTGGAGATTTATAAATCCGCCTTTAAGGCGAAAAGGGTAGATTAACTTTTATAATAATCGAAGGGATGTTACATACCCCCCAAGTACTGCTGTGAACTAGATTTGTTGTCGATTTTATTGGTTTTAAAGTCATGGATTCACAAATCCACCGCATCAGCGCCGTAGAACATCGGCCACCTTCGTTGTCTGTATCTTCAGCGCAAGGAGAAACAGAGAGAAGGCGAAGATCGTCATCTAACGCGTCCCAAAATTCTGGTGTCAATACCTTTTCTCCTGACAGGAGCGACCGAAGAAAACCATCCAGTACAGCGACGCCATTCTTGTATTCCTCCAGCGGTCGCAAAGTATCTAGCAGTGTTTCTCCAAGGCTCGAGCCCATAGACGCTGCAGCCTCGAAACACAAGCAAAGTGAAGTCTTACCGACCTATCGAATGGCACCGCAGGCCGACAGAAAATTCCGACCTCAAGTTGTCAAGAAAATTATGGATGAAGCTTTTGAAGAGAGCCTTGACGGACTGAACGGGTATGATTCAGTGAAATGTCGGGCGCTCACTACGCAAGTCTGCGAAGATATCAAACAAAGAGTAAAATGGCTTAATTTTGAACGCTGTAAGCTAATTTGTGTGGTTCATATTGGCTCGGTGAACGGTCAAGGTATGAGAGTAGCAAGCCAGTGTCTGTGGGATCACACGGTGGATAATTTCGCTTCGACAACATATTGTAAGGGCGACATTTTTGCGGTTGCGTTGCTCTTTGGAGTTTACAAGGAGTAGTTCAGCGACCGCTGTTCTTTTCGTATAGGTTATTGTTCGTTTATAAACTGTTGTTGCTAAGATCAGGGGCATTAACTGTGAAAGCGTTAATATACAGCTTAATATATACAGTACAGTCATAAAGAAAGGTTAGGAAGCGCTAGCTGATATCATTCGGCAGCCTACTGAGTAACTAAATAACACCTTCAGTGATAATTTCCGATATCTTTGAAAACCGCATCAAAATCCTTAGGCTAGAATAATTTCAATTCTTATTTAACCTTTATCGTTACTGCAATGAGCCCTTGTGCAAATTGGATTTGCAATGAAATGATTTCTTTTCCAATCTGATTTTTCCGAATTGCGTTTCAACATTCCATTGTTACACTCCTCACGTATTGACGGATTACAACCAAGCTACTTAGTGTAGAATAACATATTCAGCCCGTGCTATGGTTAGAACAATGGGTGCAAAGCACATTTCAAATCACTGTACGAAGATAAATGATAAATATACGATATATAGATAAATAAACATCTGCGCATATCATAAAGAATCAAATTCTCCGATACACCAATTACAGGTTGAGATTCAAACACAAGAAAAGGCACCACTGGATGCAAAAAGGCGGAACCTTTTTTAGATTAACCTCTGGTAGCGCCGATAATCCTGACTATTTCCTTAATCGCGTTCAAGTTCTATGTAAAGATTCATTTTTCCTTTTACAAGTTACCTTCTTAAACAACGATTTCTCTGCAGACGGGTCAGCGGTACCTGGAAATAAAGGCAAGTTGCATGAGAGAAGTAAATAAATGTTGCAAATTTACTTCGAACCTGGGAGAAAGAAATTTCCTAATCAATCAAGAGTATGCAAAGCCCAGAGAACTGAACATTGAAATTTGAACTGTTTTTCTGCCAACCATTTCCCTAAAAGACCCAAAAAGAAGACATGGGAAAAGAAATTTCCTTGAAAGTTTCTCAGGCCACAAGTTCCCCTAATGATTATGTATCTTTTGCCTTCTTTAACATGTGAGTTTCGCTTAGGGTTAGGGTTTCGCATGGATAACAATGAACAATTTGCTTATGCTGTTAGAGAGGAAAGAACATGTGCACATGCGGATAATAGCCTGAGTTCATAGCCATATTAATACTAAAATAGACCATCAAGTTGACACTATAGTGTACACGTGGATACACTGTTCAGAATGTAATTAGATTACCGTACATCCTCCAGCATTTATTCAAAATAAAAAAGAAAGGGCGCTTATTGGAAGGAGGGTGCTTAATCGAGGGGGACCCTTATTAAGAAACTATGAAGCTGAACTGATGCCGTTGTCGTTGAAGCTTAAAAAAATTATGAAATGGCGATTGAAACAGGTTTTCCTTGTGTTCCTACTATTTAAGAAAGTGCAGGAAGAGGGGCGCTTGTTTGATACTATGGCCTAGGGGTTGGGTGCTTACTTGGGGGAGGGTACTTATTAGAGCGTGAGCGCTGGTTTAAGGAAATATGGTCTGTAAAGTCTCAAGTTGTACAAATAAATTATTAGGGTGTTTTAGATTCATGTTTGTTTCTGAATGCGTGTGACCGCAAACGTCTAGGAGTCACTTGACTAGACTCCAGAAGCTCACATGTTGACTTTTTTCAAGTGAAAGCCGACGTCGATCTAAAATCTGAAAGTCTCGAAACTCCTTATTACAAACTGCTGAAGGCGGTTTGACGTTAGCGGTGAACACACCAAACGTGGATCTAAAACTCTCTATTTATATTTAATTCCTACCGCCCTTGAAATGAGTAAGTTTTCTAAGGGACAGCATCAGTAGTTTAAAGTTTGATTGACACGTTATTCCGCGTTTCACTTCCGGCACAAAATTTGACGTCATTCCTACAAATGTCGCATACCCCGTATTTAACAATCGGTCCGCCATCTTTAATAAGATGCATTCTCTCCCAAACTCCTGAGGGCATGCTTACGCCACGAAATTTGCATATCAGGTCTCCACATTATTCGCTCCTTTGCGTCGCATATCCACGAGTAAAAACGATAAATCTTGCATCTGGAAAAGGTGCGTTTCCGTCATGTTGAATTAAAATGGCAAAATTAGATAATTGCTATACCCCTCTGAGACCTCTGAGTCTCGTTGAAAAAACAGATACCATTTGACAATGCCACATATTGGCATCTGACAGAGGCCGCGAGCGGTCTTTAACTCGTTGCGCCAGCCCTAATTGCTTTCAGCGCAGAAGGAAGCACCAATCCTGCGTTGCCTGCCTGCTGTCTTCAACCGTAGGGGTTTCAGGGTCGGTTTTCAAAATGGAGGCGGGAGTATCAGATAATCTATAAGTTGGCATGGCAACTGACGGTGTGTACATATCCGTAAAGTCAGCAACAAATCACTGGAGACTGTTTATTTTTGGATGTTGGCAAAGGACTTGGAACTCATAAGTCCGTATGCAGAAAGCCAATGGAGACTGGGGAAACTAGTGTGGAAATAACAGAGCATAGTAATATAAAGACAAATTTGCAGCTTCTTATCATAATGTCTCAATAAAGGCTTTGAACTTGAGTTTGTTTTGAATTATATGCTTGTGAGGGTGCCTCAAGGTTTCCTGTAAAAATTCAACGGGCGTAACGACTAAAATAAGTAAAATTACGATTTTTTTAGCATTACAATCCAGCTTTTATTTTGGTTCTCTTTTACCAAATATATTTGACCAGAAAAATTCGATTCAAAGTTGCTGTTTCTGTTAATCATCTTTCATGACGCTTAGTACAAGTGTTTCCTGTTACATCTCTGACAGCAGGTATATTGTGAATTCTTCACCAGCTAAATTTAGTGGTTTTTCTTTCTGTTTTTGTACTCAAGCTTAGGAACTCCAAATGCATCCTTTTCGCTAGAATACAAGACAAGTTCATGGTTTAAAAGTTTTCTATTACTATTCATAATTTTATAGTATGAACAGTGAATTAGTTTCATTATGCAAATCCGCAATTGATGGGGTGGTTTCCTCTGAGAAGAAAACTAAACGAAGTGACTTCCGAAATTTGTGGCAGGAAATTCGTGCGCTTCAAGTTTGGTGTAATAAATTTTTTGGTTTTCTTTTAAAACAACAGCCTTAAAGCTGGAAAACGGAAAAAATCGAAAAGCGCTAAGGTTTGTTGATGTCATTAACTCTTTCAGAAATACTGTTTGAAATTAATCGAGCCACCTTAGGAGATCAACAACGGTTCAATAATTTGGTTTTTACTCCTAAAAGGCATTGTTATCATGAAAAGAGAATAGAAAAAAAAACCCTCAAGAACAAGTTGCACGTATCGTTCACAAAATTGGTATTATTTGCCGGTTTTATTTATGCGTTCCAGGGTAGAAATGGATCTTTGAGAAGAAGGTTGCAAGATTATACCGATTGTGTTTTGGAGGCAAACCACAACAAAAACATTTAGCACTTTTTGACACCTGCAGTAATAAATATTTCAGTAGTTTGTTTTTTAAGACAATAAGCGGTTTGCTAGCTTCTTTTTAAGACTTAAATGACCAAAATATTAGTTGAGCAGAATATAAATGAAAAGAAATGTTGAAAAATGAAGGAAACTTATCACGGCTTATGAATTTTTTTTGCAACCTTAACTGATTTAACACTTCACTTATTACTGAGTTAAAATCTCTATGTCCAGCCTTTTGTTTCTGTTTTTCGCAATAGGAACAAAAGTTCCTATTTTTCCTCAGGGTAAAAGACTGCTGTTTCCTGCAAACCTCCGATAAAAACAAAAGAATTTCCTTTCTACATATGTAATTCATTTTCTTGTTTCCCTCTAAAAATTAAACGTTTAAGGCAGCTTTCAAAGGATGAAAAATATTGCACTTATTTTGAGTCTTTTGATGTGCGCTGCGCCGGCTCCCAACTTTGTACTGACCTAACATAGCAGACAGACCACAGAAATATTATCAATTGTATATCTGTAGAAATTGCGGAAAAAAAGCTTCACCCAAATAGGAAATTAATATTCTCTTTGCCGAAAGATGTATATCTGCAACATTGATTTATGCTTGTCGGCAAGATAACAAATTTCAAGAACAGTTTTCATCACAGAAATATTCTAGAAGGAAATTAAGATGCGATATTTATTTAAGTTCCAGATGACAGGTGTCTGCTCTAAAACTGACAGACATAAAGCAACTCTTTTAACGGACGATTTGTGATCGTATATCACCACGAAACCTGTCATTTTACAAAGGAGCGTTAATGTCTTAAACTGTACTGTTGCGAACTAAATTGAAGCTGAATGGTTAGGGAACTTTCGGGATCTGACAAAACAGAGTGCGCAAAATGGATGTGATATAATAACAGTGATATTTGAGAGCGCACTACTTATCGAGTTTTGCTTTCTAACGTAACAGCTCCGATTTAAAATGAAGTTTATGCATTTTTTCCGTCTAATTTAGCGGCAGTCTACAGCCTATTGATTGCACTTTACTTTTGCTCTAAAGCTAGACTTCGATTTTGAATATGCTATATTTTTTCTACGTGAGATACATAAATTAGGCTAACAATTTATGAATGGTAATCCTTTTTTTTTCCTTCCTATGTTTTTCGTGAAACTAACTGTGTTGTCACAAATTCAATCATAAACAATACCACCGACCGGGAGCAAACCGGGGTTATCTGTTTTGTCAGCCTCTAAGTACCTATAAACGCTGGTTTCCTAATTTTCTTGAACAATATCTCACCATGCATTTAGCGCGGTTGTTTCGTGCAGACAATGAATTTCCAGTTTCCTTGAACATTTATACCGTGCTGATATGCAGATGGCAAAATTCGCCAAACAAATTTAATCCAAACTCATTTTCAATGGCGAAATGGGCAATAAGATACATACTTCATTATGAAATATTGCAGTTTGTAATTTTACGGTAAAAGCAAATTTGTTCAAATCGCAAAAGAATAACATTAACATAACCCTTCCAAACGCAAAAACTGTAATCATTAAAATATTTTTCTTCGTTTCAAGCACTCTTAAATGTTCCATTAATTTCATGTTCTTTGAACTTGTTTCCTTGTCAAAGGAAGAGAGGTATTTTCTATAACGTGAACAAATTCAATTTTCCCGGTGCATTATAACGGGGTCAATATTTTATTTGAAAGAAAACGGGGCTGTTCGTCGATTTTCTTGTGGTGTATTCTTTGTCGACCTTAATCAAGTGATTTTCGCGCTTATTCAGTATAAATGCAAAATGTGATGTCATTATTTTCTTATACCTACTGAGCATTTTCGTGTCTTATTGTTACAACATACTGTGTTCATTCAAATTTAATAAAGCTATGGTTCCTTAAAGTCGGCCAAGCTCATAACCAATCATAATGAACGCATTACAGCTCGCACGCTAGGAAGAAATCTCTCGCTTATGAACCTCAAAAGCTAAAATCTAAAAACAATTTAACCGATATCACAGCTTTAGCTCCACCGCCCGAACATGTGTTGGATTATGAAAGACTTTCGTTATATGGCCTTTCAAAACACTTTTATTTCGTGAGCCGAAAATGTCGTGGTAATAATTTTGCGAAACAATTTTGTTTCGATCTCGCATGTATTTCAGACAAATCCGACGAGTTTTTCCCGAACCCGTTAGTTCCCTTTGCGTGAGCAGTCAAGCGATCTGTCGATCAGTGCGATGGATGAAACTAAACACCAACTATTCATACCACTTAGGTTTCTATTTGGTGTGAAACTTTTCCAAAACAACCTTACATCATTTTGACTTGGCTGTCAAATCTTTCCGCCATGCGAAATCGATCGATTTCTAAACCCCCTGGTTTCAAATGTTGGTAGTCAATTACCTGATAAAATAAAATCATTTTGTTCTTTTTGTTTGAGCTGTAAATACGAAACTCTGACGCAAGAAGCTCCTTTGATTCAAGAGACTGAGCCAAAAACACTGCTCATCTATCAGCTTTGAGTTTTGATAATGAGATTCGATTTTGGTTAGTTTCGTGATCTCTGAAAGAAAAGAGAGAAATATCAACAATAAGGAAGAAAGGAAGGGCACTTTCGTTTTATGTTATACTTTGACAAGGGCTTATAGACAGCTCTTACGACAAAAAAGAAAAAAAAAACATGAAAGGCTGGAAAATAGACAAAGTACATCCTATTTGAATAAAATTCAAGTTGCTTTAGTCAACACGGACGGCATTTGAAAACAATTCAATTTTATTGCATGGATAATGTTTCGCATGGAGTTGGTTAATAACATTAGCACACTATTTTATCAATTCAAGTTTTTAGCCCCTCTCCATCGCAAAGATTCGTTATCATAGAGGATCTATGTATTTCTCCGACATGAAGCATTGTCTTCAAACCCCAAAAGCCAAGCTTTAAATTTCAGAAGGCGCCCACTAAATGATTAAGATTATTTTCTTTAGCAATTTCCTTGTTTGCGGATTACGACTTCTGAATTTATTTTTTAATTTGGAATCACCCAAGCAACCATAAAGTTGGGTAGATTTAGAGGTAAAATGAAACATGGAGAAATCTTGTGTTAAGATTGATTTTTCTCAGCCCGAATTCGGTAGATTTTCTCGGCTAGAAATTCATGAATTTCTGTCGATTAAAAAATTAGCAACAGGATTAACCGACTTCATAGTCCGAGGTTAAGCATTATCGATGTCCTGTACACTTATTAATTTCATATATGTTAAAATTTTGACGCGCCGAATATAGTGGGCAATTTTTTGTTATACAATATTATTTTCTAAGTGTCTGTCAAATTCTTGTTAAATTTGGTCAAACCATAAACATGGGAGCATTCGCCCCAAAAATTGCTGACAAAGTCAGCTTAGTTATATGAATATCTTTGAGCATCATCGGGCAATACAGGTTTATCCCATTTAAGAAACAATTTATGAAAGATGTTACAAAACCTTCTAAAAAATACTATAACGCTCAAAGAAAGTGACAAGGAGCACGATACCTACTGTGGAATATTCCTTAAAAAACCTAAACAATCTACAATACTTAAATACGTTTTAATATCTCGTTCTATAATTTATATATCCAGATTATTTTACCACAATTTAGAGGCTGGAGTTTCTAAGCACTAGCCTTTTCATACCCGCCTTTCTCAAGTGCTGTTGTTCGTTATTCGCCAGCGGCGAGAAATCAAATGAGTTCGTCTGCCGCGTATAACCTTTTTTCAGATTTGCATGTGCAGCAATAGTTCTTTATTCAAATGTTTTGAGTCAGTGGAGTGTTCTGCGGCGGCTGCTTTGCAGAGCTTTTATTTTTGGGGCAGTACTTGATGGTGTGCGACTGGTCCCCGGATGCTTTGCATAGAGGACATGTGTATGCTCTGAGTATTGGACATGTAGTGTTCCCCTCGGCATCCTTCAGAACATGGCTTGAATAGACTTTTTTGCTTTCTCCGTTATTTCTGCAAAATACACACACGTTCGCATTTCTGTTCTTCTTACTTTCGCGGTTTTTCCGGTTGCGATTGGCCACTTCGCTGTTGTTTTCGGCGTTCCGTTTGGAAACGTTTCTGGTTGGTGCGCCGGGCGCGAGAGATGAGCCTGGCGCTTTTGACGTTTCAATGCACAATTCAATGTCTGGATTTCCACCAGAACCCGAGCTCGTTAGAGAGTGATCCGATCCCACGCTGTCCACACGAGATCTTTTGGTGTAGGTGAAATCATACAAACTGTCTATCCCTGCAGTTCCTTTACCGTTCAACTCAGCGTTCTGTACGAGTCTTATGAGTCCAAAATAGTCCCTGAAAAGGCGAAATTCGCTCTTTTCGTCGAAACTTGCCTTCAGGTTCGCTACCTCCCGAGCGCTTATCTTACCGTGGCCGGCAAAAATATCTCCACTGTAAAACACGCTCAACATCTCGTCTCCCATTGTTTCAAAGAAGCGACTCGTGAGTCAGTTTTTAAATTAGTGTGAGAAATCTAGAGACTATATTTAACGAATTTACCCCGAGCTCTCCGAGTTCCAGTGACCGCGACCGCCAGTAGTGAAAATTTTGCACTTGTTTCGATCGGGGTGATTAACTTTGTGAATGAAGTGTACGGGTTCTGGCTCCAACAATAGCACGACGGCACCTGAGATTGGGAGACTTAAACTAATGCGTGCATGGATCCACAATTATACCCGCCAACCACCACCGACGGCAGCTGTCGCAAAGCTTTTCAAACGCAGTCTTGTCACTTATCATAGCCACTGTGAATAAGTTTGAAAGGCACATTGAAAAATTACTTTAAGGAGAAGCTTTGAACATGTGGTCCGATTGTTCCTATTGAAAACGATCATTAAATTTAACCAATCATATAAGCGCTATTGACGCGGTTTAGAGTGGCACCGCGTGCGTTTCATAAGTCAGCATTTTAAAAAGAAAACGGGATCGTTTTACATCAATTTGATTGGCTGCTCAATATAAGTGCCGTCAAAAAGCAGCCTGATTTCACATGTAATTGTTTTTAAGGATGATCTAAAGTTGTCATTATGAATTCATTTTATAAGACAAAACAACAGAGTTGCACGTGGAATCCTGCTGAAAAACAGGCCTGTTAAAAATAGTCTCAAATAATCTACGCTATTTTCATTACTATAAGGCTTACCAAAAGAGATTTTAAGAACCTATCAGTTCCAACTAAAAACGTCTATTAGTTTTTTTGCTGATAATCTATCGAAAAAAGAGGTTCAGGTTTCGGTTTCGAAACATTCAAGTTAGAAACGAAACAAAAAAGGCTTACAATTCGCTAATGAAAGTTTTGTAAACACTGAAACATGCTGCCCATTTCGATTCGCGCCTCAAATTAAACATATAACCTTTGCTTCCAAGACGCTTTCGAAAGCGGTTGTGAGAGGTAAATATTTTCAAAGTTGGTTTGAAATCGTTGCATCTCTTTGGTGATCGAGGTTAGCGAAAATCTTGAGAATGGTGTTTTGCTTTGTTGTCTTTGCGATCTTTACGGGTGATCACTTTTAAGAACATGCAAAGATAGTGAGCTCTAGCGTTTGGCGTGGCTGAGAAATAAACATTAATATGGCAGGTGTTCCATATGCTAATTATATCATCACAAAGGACAGCTTTGGAATAAATTTTCCTCTTAAAACTCAATATTGCATTGTTTAAGATACTTTTTAATGGCTTTGTTTTCGGTACGCTGAGCCGCAAATGTGGCAAATTCATCCAAATCGGCACCGTACAAGCAGACGGCCCTTCCCAAAGCCGATTTTATTTCTGTTCTCGCTTTAAGTGGAGTTAAATTATGAAATATTGAAATAAAGTTAATCCGGTGTTCAAGGTTCCTTTAAATTTAAGCTTTATTTTAGAATTGCCTCTGTTGTGAATAGAGTTTCTGATTTATTATTAATAAAAAGTCCTGTCTCATTTTGTCTGTGTATTCCTTAATTACAACCAACACTCGAAAGTCCATTATGTGTTTTTGTTTGAACATTTTCGGTGAGAGTTGAACATGAAACCAGGTAAGTTCTCAGCTTACTGGTGATCAATACAAAGTCTTTCTTTGAACTTCTAGAATGCCAACTTCTTGAGGAGCCGTGTCTGTCAAATCTAATTATCCCTTCAGGAAAGTAAAGAGTTAGAAAAACTTCCAATTCAATTTACCCGCTCAAAAACTAAAGACCGTCTCTCACCGTGGGGAATGAGTCATAAAATTGCTTACCCAAAGATGACAATTGCCCAGTATTTGCATTCGAATTTTTATCATAGCCAGGTGACCTTAAAACAACATCAATTCTAAAGCGGAAAAATTCGTGGATGCTAGAATGCTAACCTGGAAATAAGCCATACTCAAGGTGTCAGCTCTAAAGTTAGAGGTGGATGTGGGTCGCAAAGCCTTTCAGTGATTAGACAGCTCATACGGTCAGTTAGGGTAACCTAAAAAACGATCCGTTTTCAAACTTTCCTTTTTATGCATATACATGTTGTTCAGTATATATTAGATTGGCTTGGATTATTTTGGCAAAGGTTCGAAACTAATCTAAGTGTTCCGGAGCAAACATACTAAATTAATAGGTGCTTGCGGTCAATTGAGAAAGGACGGGAGGTTGATCGATAATATAAGTTCATTGAAAGACCGTGAAAGGCTTTCATTCGCGGAAAGTACCTCATTAATTTAACGTAAGAGAAGTACAATTTCCCTCAAAAGAAGGCGATAAGTTGCTGAGCTGCTTTATCGCATGGTCTTTTTTTAACTCTAGTTACACTGAGGTGCCTAAAATGAAAGAGAATTTTTTGTACAAAGCATTCTGAAGTTGCACGTAAATAAATAAATCGTTACTTTGTGCTCACTGGTTTTGTCGTTTGTCCTACGTTTTAATCGGCGCTCAGATGCAACGTTTGAAGTAAGAGACTTGTTCCTTATCCCACTTAGAGCAATTCACCTGAGACAAGCTAACTTGGGTAAGAATACATCAAAATAGCAACCTTAAATTACGTATGACATCGCCACTAATCCTAAAACCAATGGATCGGATATAGCGAGTGAATTTTACCTCAGTTTCACATAAATTGACCATACACCGCTCCTCATAATTCATAAATACCGACATAGACATTTACGAAACGGAGGAAAGCAAACTCTGTGTGCAATTTTTTTTTTATGGAAGTTCATTGTGTCGATCGTTGACAGACAATAATTTTGTGGCAAATGTTATTTCTAATGATGAATGACGAAATAAATTTCTTTTAAATTTCTGTCAATCTTTGAATTTGCCCGCGCTTCACTTTGTTAGTTACTTCAGTTTATTTTACGCGCATCAGCTTTACAGTGACCAAATGTTTATTTATACGAAACAAGTTACACGAGATCGAAGGCATGTAAATACTAATATCACAACAAGTATACCCTGGATCCATGTTTGAAATGGTATACGCTGTAAAAGCCACTTTTTGCTGAAGTTGTCACAATAGTTTGCGGGCTTTTTCATCGAAAAGTTTGCTTTGAACATCTAGAAAGTCGTTAAAAAAGGATAATTTCTGAACGCCATATTGTTAAACGTTTGCGAATTAACCGCTAATGACATGGTTCGTTCCCTGAGTCCACGTGCGCTAATCTTTGTTTTTGATATCAAAAGCTCTGCAGGAGATAAGTTTGCAAGTCATTCAAAAATGGCATGCATTGTGAAGAACGAGCGCTTTGAAGGTAAATAATTCATTAAATGTGTATACTTTGAAACTGAACGATTCTGTAAGATTGAGTTATTGGGATGCATTTTACATAAGCTGAATGAAAAGATAAAATCCTTTACATCTCTTTTCAAGCGTCATTGATGGTAATTTAAAGATTAGCCGGTTTGGAGGCACTGAATCGTGTTTTTCATTCTGTAAATTAACTGTTAGCTTTAGAGGGTGAACAATAAGGGAAAGATTTTTCAATTTTCATTGTTCGGTTGTAATGTATTCACAGGTAAAACTCTCTAGGTAATTACATGATTTATTCAAATTTCTTGAAGCAATTAGCACTTCGTTTACATCCTCTTCATCTTTTAACCGTTTTGAAACTTGTTTTGAAAAAATAGCTTTCGTGTGATTTCAAAAAATTAATTCAAACGGATTTGAAAATAAATTTCTTCGTGAAAAATGTGTTTTTATCGACAAAGTTCCCTAAAATATCTGACATTTACTTATGAAGTTAAAGTTCTATTGGAAATGTTTTATTAGATGTTATTAATTCACTGCTTACCCAACATCTCGTAGATGATAAATGTTCGGGATGGTAACAAGAAGTACAGTTGAAGAAAACACATTGTCAACTCTAATCAAAAGCGACAGATTCGCAATGTTAGAACCATGAGCATAAGAACACCTTCAAACATGGGATAGAGAGACCTCGTTGCTCTACGAAAAAAAGGGAGACATGCATGCAATCACGAGCCAAGGTTTACAAAAGAAGGACAAAGCACATTTGCATCCTGAAATAATTGTGTACACATCGTGCTCGTTGAAAGTATTACCAGGAGCTTCTGAAAATATTATTTGTTATAATATTCTGGTATTACTTAGCCATTTCAGTTTTTTTGTTCAGATTTTTTTGTTATCAGTAGGAGCTAATACTGCATTATTTTCTTGTCGTTTGAAACTTGACGTTGCAACGAGAATTGAAGCTTAGTAATTGCCCAAAAGTTTGGGTCAATGTCTCGCTTTAGATCCACCACAGGTAATTATGCGCTTGAGCCTCTATGGGTCTTTTTTCATACCTTCACAGCCCTGCGTTCTGTGGTCTTCTTCGCAACCAATTTTTGTGAAGAAGCTTTGCGTAACATCCCGTAGAACGGCTGTAAAGAAGACGATGTTTTTAAATAATATATTTCAGTTTGTTTTACATCAACCCAGAACTTACCTTTTGTTGTTATATATCTATTGAAACCAGTTTAAATTATGATAAAACGAAATCTTCACGCACCAATTTTTTCCACCGAAGTTCAGTTTTTGTGGCTACTGCATTCTGGGAATGCGTAGCCCTTATGTTATCGCCCTGTAAGTGCGTGCGTAAGTTAAATTTTCCGCAGGAAGCCCAGCTGAATATTTCCTCTAGTTCGTGATATTTTTTTTTTGTTTCCTATTTGGGATTCCTGTGTAACCACGCAAGCGTTCCAAAATAGCATGTTTGTAGCGGTAGTAGCGGTATAAATGGTGTCAGAAAAGTTTTATAGGCGGTATATTTGTTGATTAAGGTCAGTTTACTATATCATGTTTCTATGATGGCATAGGAAAAGTATGGACTGGACCATTGGACCCTTGGACCCTTGGACCATTGGACTATTTTTTGGACTCTTTTTGGGACCATTTTTGGGACCATTTTTGGACCATTTTTTTTTGGACCATTTTATCGGGGGAGGCAGACCATTAGTACTTAGGGAGGGGTGGGATGCAGCTCATCAGTACTCAGGGAGGGGTGGTAGGCGGACTGTTGTTACTAAGGGAGGAAGGAGGAGTACGAACTATCAGTACGCAGCGAGGGGTGGGAGGTTGATGTATTAGCAACAGCTACTGATTAATGGAGTTTTTACTAGATCATACAAATTATTTTGAGCGGTTTTTCGACTGACTGTTCGTATGTTAAAAATTTTTGCGTTGGGCCGTAGCGTTTCTTTATTTTTTGTCGTGCGAATGCGAAACTAGCACCTAAACACTGGATTATAATTGTTATTGAAAATATCGCCAATTCCTGTTTTCGATCCTCCACTGTTAAGTCATGCGTGTGCCTGTTAAGTCGACTTGTACCAGTGCTAAATGATACTCATGAGTTAGCATAAATCAACCATCAGTTGCCTCACGTTTCCCTTTGCGCATACAGTAGATCATTAAATTCATCTACCTTCCTTTTGTCATTGATCTTTTTAGACGACAAAGATCACGGAATTCCCGATCCTTAGCATAGTATTCACGAGCGTTATCGCAATTTTTCACGTTTACACCTTTTCTAGAAAAACATTGTTGGTACAACTGTACAAATCAATTTTCTTTCTTTTCAGATACACAGTTTTCCCCTATTAGATACACTCAACTCGCGCCTAAAGTTGAATGTCATGTCACGCATTTCACTTTCACAGCTTCAGCGCTAGATCATTTTTTAAATAACAGGTTTGCATTTATGGCTTAACATTTGGCGCAATTTTCCTTTCACATAGCC